AAAATTTTCTGTTCAGATCTAGTGTCTGATATATAAAGTGTACATCACACATTGATATTTAAGTGATTATTATGGTATGACCATATTTCCATGTATATAGTAACAGCTATATCACAAAAGCCGTGCACAGTGATTGCTTCCTGGCTTTTGTATGTTGTTAATGAGTCTTTTCCAACTCATTCTGAATCCATCCATAAAGTGTAGAGTAGAGTTGGTTTTTTTTTGTTTGGTTGGTTTTTGGTTTTTTGGGGGTGTTTTTCCAGAGTAGAGTTTTCAAGGCTGTGACATTTCAGAAGATTGCCAGGACTGTCTTCCAGTGCATCTCTGGGTAAGCTTAGCTAGAAGATCAGAGAAAGATTCATCCCCAACCTGTATTGTACTGACAATACAACCTTGCTTGCTGAAAGTGAGGAGGACTTGAAATACTTGCTGCAGAAGATCAAAGTATACAATCTTAAATATGGACTGTATCTAAACATCAAGAAGACAAAAATTCTTACCACTGGTTCAGCAAGCAACAGCATGATAGATGGATAAACGATTGAAGTTGTCAACAGTTCTATCTTACTTGGCTCCACCATCAAACACACTTGGTACTAGTAGTCGGAACATCAAGAGATGTATTGCTTTGGGCAAGTTTGATGTCAGAGAATTCTCCAAATTACTAAGGAGCAGTGGTGCCAGTTTAAAGACTAAGATATACCTGATTCAGGCCTTGATTTATTTTTAATCACTTGCTGTGCCTCTTAGAGCTGAACAATGAATAAGGATGACAAAAGAATTAGTACCTTTGAATTGTGGTATTGGAGAAGAGTACTGATTGTCCAGTGGACTGCCCAAAGAACAAATAAGTATGTATTCAAAAAAGTGCAAACGGAATGCAACCAGAAGACAAGGATGACAAAGTTTTGTCACATATACTTTGGGCGTATTGCCAGGAAATACTGTTTCTTGGAAAGGGACATCATGCTCACAAAGGTGGAGAGTCAGTGTAAGAGAAGAAGATCCTCAGTGAGTTAGATTGGCGCAGTTACTGCAGCAGTGAGCTCAGGTATATTGGAGATGATGAGGGTGGACAAGGTGTAGATTTGTTGTTCAGAGTCACTGTAAGTTGTACTCAATTAATGTCACCTACCAACAACAAAGTCTAGCACTTGGACTATAGAAAGGACTACAGATAATGCCAGCACTGTTAAGTCAGCTCCCTGTTTTAGAAATGTGAAATCTATAAGATGCATAAGAATTGATAAAATATGATGGCTTCTGCTTTCCTAGATAGTACTGGCCTCATACATAATACATATAGCTTTCAATTTTTAAATTAAAGCCACAAAGTTTATGTATGTATAAGTATATAGATGATTTTATATACTAAGTGAGTGGTGAAAATGGTTATAAACTCGACTGTCAACCAAGAGGTTGGTGATTTAAACCACCGAGGGTACCTTGATGGTAAGATCTAGGATTTGCTTCCAAAACCCTTGAAAACTCTATGGAACGATTCTGTTTTGCACACATGGTTCACCATGAGTTAGGATTGCTTCACTAGCAACACTTCTTTCTATATACACTTTTCCTTTTTTTAATTTTTACGTTTTTCCTTTTTTATTTTATGAATTGATAAGTGTATCTCTGTTTTCTAGTTCACAGATAAAGAAAACTTGTCACGGAAAGATACTAGCTTCAATATTGAAGGCGATTTTCACATGATATCAAAGTCTGAGAAGGGCTCCATTGAAAAGGAATGTAAGTAAATTACTAGCATCATTCTAAAGTTATCTGGCACTGAACTAAATGTCAGTGTAAAAATACATGCTTCCTCCCCACCCCCCCACACACAGCAATTTTAGATTTCCCTTATAGGGATTCAGAACATTTGTATCATTCTTTGGACAATAATTTCAAATCAACAGAGAAGACTGTGTGGGAAGCAAATAAGGCATAATATAAACTGATTTTTAATAGTTAGGAGTAAAAATTATTGATAGTCTTACAAGAATTTAATATATTTGAAATGAAAGGCTTCATACAATAAGAACTACTGTTTTTAAATTTAATTATAAAATCTTTATTGGCATCCACAGCACATCAGCAGAGAACTGCCAGAAGTCCAGGCTGGGTTTAGAAGGGGT